GAGGGTGGAAAAAAAGCCCTTCACACCACATGCCATGTCTGTGGGCAAGGTGAACACACCAAGCAAGTCTCCAAGACATCTTGACACACAAGACAGATCCCTCTGCTAGTCTGCCACAGGGAGATGAAACAGAAGTCCATAAATCCTACATTTACTGTGGTTGTCACACAGCCAAGCTCATCAGTTTGGCACCAGTTTTCCTGCTGCTGGTATTGCAAGGTCTTCGTGCTCGAGAGTGTATATCCCTGGGCTCTGTGAAAGGGATAGATGCTGCGATCTGCATCTAAGCTGGAAAACAACACTAAGTAGTGATTTTTATAGAGAAAGGCAATCGGGAATGTCGGCAAACTTCATAGTAATGTGTAAAATGTAAGGCTAAGGAAGAGAAACAACTGTCGTGAAGATGCAGTGCAAATCTAAAAAGGAAAGAGAGTTCAGATGGCTTCTTGTGTTATATATAATGTGCTTAGGGCTTCTGTATTTCTTCTTGGGAAGTCATGGACAGAAAACATGGGCACATGGACTATGAGTCTGGCACATGATGTATTCTAAGCATGGTCCGGAAAAGGACAACAAAGCTGCTGAAGGGTCTGCAGCACAAGTCTGGTGATGAACGGCTGAAGGAACTGGGGTTTTTTAGTTGGAGAAGACAAGGCTCAGGGGGACCTTACCGCTCTCTACAGCTACCTGAAAGGAGGTTGTAGTGAGCTGAGTTTGGTCTCTTTTCCCAAGTAACAAGCAATAGGTAACAGCCTTAAGCTGCACCAGGGGAGGTTTAAATTGGATATTAGGAAAAATTTCTTCACAGAGAAGCTGATCAGGCACTGGAACAGGCTGCCCAGGGAAGTGGTGGAATCATCATCCCTGGAAGTGTTCAAAAACAGTGTAGATGAGGCCCTTAGTGACATGGTTTAGTGGCGGTCTTGGCAGTGGTGGGGTAATGGTTGGACTTGATGATCTTAAAGGTCTTTTCCAACCTAGTTGATTCTATGATTCTGCTATAGATATTCTTTGCTCCTTGGAAGCAAGTTTCCACTTACTCTTCTATGTTAGACATATATTTGCACATATCTATACATGCACGTTTGTTTTAAATAGGAACATTTCCTAGCAGGGGAAAAAGCCCTGTCTGTGTGCTGTGCTCTGATCCTGAAAGGAATTCGTACCATAAAAGACATATAAAGTCTTTTATTCTTTCATTATTTTGAAATATGAGACCGCTTGGCTGCAAGGCGATTAGTTTGTGAGTTTAGTACAGTCTTGCTGTTGCTGTAAGACTTTGATTAGTGTAAGAGACTTTTTCTTTAGAGGACTACAAAGAAACTGCCACGAACTATAAATTCCATGCTAATAGAATTATTTAAAAGGCTGTTTCGGTGTATCTTGATTTTTATGGATTGTACTTTAAGTGCAGCTGGTTTGAAGAGGAATACTCCCTATGCTTCATGCTCGGCTTTTGTCAGAGGTGTCATGAAGATGTACCCCCAGCCCTGCCGAAGGGCAGTCTTGCAGGCAGGTTAAACCAAGCTAAGACTGTATTGCCACTAGGCAGCACCTTCCTCCTCCTCTTTGTTTTCCGTCTCTCTCCCTACTGTCGTTGGCTTTGGCTTTCACACATGGAAATCATAGAATCAACTAGGTTGGAAAAGACCTTGAAGATCATCAAGTTCAATGTTACATTGCAGTCAGTTGCTTGTGAATAGATAATAACGATTACACTTTGCTACAGTGGTGGCAAATTAGAGGATACTCCTTAGTCATTTGATGTCACACCTGAAAGTCTTAACAGTCTCCTTGAAGAAAAATAAGGATTATGATCCTGTGTTCCTTTGTAAGACATCTTTACTGATTATTTTTTTCCTCTTTTGGACTGTGTTTGGGTAAACAGTTTATGATTTCGAAGGCAACTGTTGATTTCAATAGAGGTGTTCTTGCAGTGAAGACTAAGCTCAGGGTGACGCGCATGCATTTTGCAACCAGTGAGTGGTTTGGGGTTTTGGAGGTTTGGGGTATTTTTAAGCAATTGCCCCTGATTGTTTCATATACCATCTATTCAAAAGCTTTCATGCATCACAAATGATACTCAAATTGCCCTCTGGATTTGCTGCGGTAGCTAACAGTAGAGCTAATGGTATCATTCATTACAAACAAACAACATAATAACAGTCCCATCTTCTCTCGTGATGACATATAATAAGATATGCATTACAAGCAATCATCTGTTTGTGTGTATTTATACTGTAAGACAAATCACTTGCACAAATACTAGACAGGAATCTCCCTTTTTTGTTTGTAGCTGCTGTTGCTGATATTTGCTCTTCTCTACAGAGGATCTGAGTTTGCTAAGTTGGTTGTTTGATGTGAGCAGCAGTGGTTTGTACTTCTAAGGCCAGAGATACCTATATCCAAGATAGTGTTCTTTGGGTTTACCATGAGCAGCGTGTGCATTTTTTGCAAGGTATGAATAAATTGTGCATGCAAATTATGCAACCAAAACCCAGACTAGTGCTGCTTGTTGTTCACAGCGTGTGACTGATCTCCTAAGTGGAATGGGATTTTTTTAGTTCATCCTCCTTACCTGAATGACAGCCTTAACAGGTATATAGAATGAAAGTCAAGTCATTCCCCATATCTCTGAAACATCCCCCTCATATGAGTGTTTTTTAATTCTTCTCAAAACATAATCTTTAAAAAAAATAATTTTTTAAAAACCGAATCTTGTAAAGGCAATGTAGAGATTCCTGTCTTGCTCCCTGTCTTTCATTCCTTCCTTACCCATGCATTCTCCAAGCCTTCCAGAATGCCTGCTTACGTGCTGCTTTAATCATATCTGTATCTTCCATTTCTTGAACCAAAACAAAGCCCATAACCCATCCCACACTTACTAAGCCAAAACATTCTCCTGGTGCAGAAACATTGGCTTTTAAGAATTCCATTAAGAGAGGATTATCATCCAAGTTGTTCCAAAGTTAGATAGCAGCTTGGATCATAAGAAATCATC